CCAGGGATTGAACTCAGGCCCTTGGGCTTGCCAGGCAAGCGCTTACTGAGCCATCTCCCCAGCCCCAATGTTTTCTTTCTTTTTGAGCTGCTAATACAAACTACTTAGGGAAGACTCACTTTGTCTTATTTGACAAACCCTTTCTTGAGACAGGGTTTCATTATATAGTTCAGGTTGGCCTCGAACTCACAGTGATCCTCCTGCCCCAGCATTCTGAGCGCTGGGGTTAGAGGCTTGCACCACCACTCCTGGCTGTCAGACTGATTTAAAAACCCCATTCCATATAAGCCATGTTCATCTATACCTTCTGGAAGTTTCTCTCACCTGTCTACTCTGTGGCCCTGCTGGTTCTACTAACCTGTGGACCTGTGTGCTCCTCTGGCAGCCTTGAGCCTGGGTCCTGACCCAGTTCCCTAGGGCACAGGAGTGGGGCTCCTGAGAACCCTTCTGTCAGCTGAGGGTTGAGGATGACAGAGGAGAGCCAGCCTTGAGGCAGCCTCATTCTTCCTGAGAAGACGCTACACCGTTGCTGCTATTTCTCATAGCCACTAATAAACCTCAGCAGCACCCTAAATTATCCTGGCTGCCTGGTTCACACTTGCCCATAAGCACCTCTTTTTCATCCTGGACCTGTGCTGGCCCCCACCTGATCTCCAAGGCCAGTAAATATGTCCCCAGGGCAGGTGCCCAAATGGCCATTCCCATGGTGCCCACCCCACTGCTCCCTGTGGTCCTCGGAGTGGCCTGTCTTGCCCCTTACCTTTCTCCCCCCATTTCCTTCTCCTGAACCTGTGGTCTCTTATGCTGCCCTGACAGCTCTGGTGTGTGGTGTGCTGCTTCCTGTGTCTCCTGGAGCTCTGGGCAGGGCCGGGAGAGAGGTACTGAGCTCCGCAGGCAGCAGAAGCTGGCATCAGGTGCCACCCTGGGGCCTCCATGCCTAGGCTGGCTGCTTCCACCCTCCTGGGCTGTGTGGTGCAGCAGGGGCGCATAGCTTAGCCAGGCCAGGCCAGGCCTGCTCCTACCAGCTGTGTCTGGGGCCAGAGCTGGGTCCCCAGGGAGCTGCTGTTTTCTTAAAAGTCCTACTCTACCTTTCTGTCCCTTGAATTTCTAATCAAAAATCCTTGGTCCTGATCAGAGAGCCAATTGTCCTGAGTTCCAAAGACTGCGCACCCTTGCTGAGGGGAAGGATGCCGAGCAGCCCTGAGGCCCTTCCCTCCTTCCCTCCCTGTCTCAGTCGGGAGTCCCTCCTTCCCTCCCTGTCTCCCTCTTCACCCTTCCCCCCTTCCCTATGGGCAGCAGGTGGAGGGGCCCCAGTGGTGGACATGAGTTCCTGTTTCACTCCCTCCTTGTAACCCTGACCTCAGTCCCTTGGTCTTCTGGCCTGTCTCCCACACCTGGAGGAGAAGGGCTGGTGCTGAGCTGGCTTCTTTTGGCCCCAAACAATGGGACTAGTGAGCCTGCTGCCTCCAAAGCTTGCCCGGGGTCCTAGAGGGCTCAGCTCAAGCCCTGTGATGAAACTGGGTCCTGGGGGCTCCAGGAAGCCCCGCCTGAGCCTCTTGTGCCTGCTCCCTGGCCCAAGGCTGGGGGACATTGGCTGCCTAGTGTGAGGGGCAGGAAGAGGCCAGATGTGGGCGAGAGGGGATGACCCAGGGAGAAGGCAGAGGGCATAAGCGCGGCCAGGTCAGCACAGGTCTAGCCTTCTTGGGGAGGAGCCTGCCGTGCTCTGCTCCCCCAGCCATCTCTTGCTGCCTCCCCACCACTGAGGAAGTGGCAGGAAAGCTGCTCCCAAGGGCGGGCCTCAGCGCCCACAGTGAAAGCTGTGGGCTGCTCACAGACTGGAGTTTTGTTGCTTCGGTTCTGATAAGAACCATCTGGTGCTAGTGGGCTGCCTCACGCGGGTGCCCTAGTTCTCATACGCTGTGTTCAAGTGTGCGTGAGTACACATTCGCACAGATGAGGACGTGCACACATGCAGCACATGTTTGTCATGTGCCACGTGTCAGGCACATACCCGGACGCAATGCTGTGCATCCAAGAGACATGTGCCTGCCTGGCTCTGGCCCTTTCTGGCCTTTGTCCCAGAGGGAGGCCTCATCCCTACATGCTCTGAGATTGCCAGCTTTGAGGAAGGCTGCAGAAGCCCAGGGGCCTTGGGTTTCCAAAGCCCTTGGGCAAGGCCCCTCCTGACACCCCCAGGAGCCCACTGACGCCTTCTTCCCCTGGCCAGACAGCCAGGTGCCTGGCCCTGCCTACCCTCATGCACTCCACAATGTGGCTTCTGCCCTATACCTTGTGCCTTGCCACAGATATGGGGTGGGACTCAGGGTCCTTGGGACTGTGGCTCTTGGGTGACAGGAACCTGCCCTTGCCTGCCTGGCCCAGCCTCCACCTTGATGGCTTGGGAGCTATGTGCTGGTTTTCAGCAACTGTCTCCCCTCAGAGGAAGGGGAAAAATCCAGAAGTGCTGGAGTTGTGAGGCTGGGATCTAGGTCAGGGGCCATGAGCTGGAGTGGCAGCAGGAGGGGGAGCAGAGAACAGCGGGCTCCTCCCCAAGAAGGCTGGACCTGTGCTGGCCCCACTGCCCTCTGTGCCCTCTGCCTTTTCCCTGGGTCATCCCCTCTTGCCCACATCCAGCTTCTTCTTGCCCTTCACACTGACCAACACTGGCCCTCACTGAGCAGGTCCTCAGGCCACAGCTGGATGGAGCAGGGTGGGTCTCGTCATACCTCAGGTCTCAGAGACCTGAGGTGTAGAGGAGGAGGGGGCTCTGCAGGCAGCAGAGACCAGGCTTCTGTGGTACAGAACCCAGGCCAGGTCATTCCCCTCTGGCCACTCCTCACAGAGAGGCATCTAGCTGGGTAAACTCTCAAGGGTTCCTCAGCTTCTTGTGATCCAAGACGTGAAGCTGGACTATGGTAACTGGGAAATCCATTGTCACTGGCATGGGTGTCCCTCCACTCAGTCTGAGCTTGGCAGGTAGGAAAGGACCTCAAGTGTGAAGCAGTCCCCCTGCAGCTTGGAAGAGAAAGCCCTGTTCCACCTCAATCCCAGGGTGGGCAGGTGTCAGGAGGAAGGGCCTGCCCAGGAAGAGACCCTATAGAAGAAAGGGCACAGCAATTTGGGGCACTGCTAGGCCCCAGGACCCTTTGAGCTCCTCAGACGTGTGTCCTGGTGGTGGGGCTGGAGCTGGTGGGCATGTATCACTCTTCAAAAGATGTGAGCCCCACCCTGTTGTCCCCAGAGCCAGCCTAAAGCTCTCTGTGGTGTAGATACAGGAATATCTGCCTCCATAGCAGTCAAAGACCATTAGTACCCCTGGCCACAAGCAGCCTGCAGTGCCTGGGGACTTCATGGTCTGAGGGGCCCCCACTGACATCCCCACCTCTCTCTCTCTGTCCTCTCTGCTCATGTGCTATGCCTGCTGCCATGTCGCATCTCCAGGAGGTGGAGGTGAGTACTGCTGGATTCCAGGGCCTGCAGCCTCCCTGGAGCCTCATACCCCCTCCCCTTCCCATCTATCAGCTCCTGTACCCCAACTCCCTCCCTGTCAGCATCCTGCATGGGGTGAGGAAGTAAGGCCCTTTCAGGAGAGGCTGAGATTCGGGACAGTAGTTGTCTAGGGGGATAGAGGCATGAGGTGGACAGAGGTCATCTGGGAAGCCACCTGGATGGCAACAATTTACATGTGGACACAGTGGCCTAGGCCTGTCCTCACTGGCGTGGTGGCAGTGGGGCTGGCTCTGGGATGCAGTCGTTTGTCCTCTCTTTCTCCACTCTCTTTTCCCTTTTCTAGGATGATTACATCAAGAGCTGGGAGGACAATCAGCAAGGAGATGAAGGTAACACATCCTTCCCAGCCAGGGAGGGGATGGACAGCTGGGAAGAGAGACCTGTGCACGAGGCTGGCTTTGGCCTGGGGTCTCACCAAGCAGCCAGATCCCCATGAGGCCACTGAAGGCTGCTGGAGGGAGGGGCCTCCCAGGACAGAAGCTCCCATGTGACGTGTGTCCTCATACTGTGTCCCCGCAGCCCTGGACACCACCAAGGACCCCTGCCAGAAGGTGAAGTGCAGTCGCCACAAGGTGTGCATTGCGCAGGGCTACCAGCGGGCCATGTGCATCAGCCGCAAGAAGCTGGAGCACAGGTGAGGCCCAGGGGGCCGTGCAGGGGTCAGCCCTGGGGACATGTTCTGCTGACCTGTCCCCTGCACTAGTGCTTACTGCTGCCAACCAGGTCACATGAAACTTGGTGGCTTAACCCAACCAGTGTGTGTCATCTCTCACAGTTTCTGAGGGCAAGAAAGCCAGCACTTAGATGGTTCTGGCCTGGGGTCTGTGGTGAGCTTTGAGTCATGGTGCAGGACAGGGCTGTGTATCTTGGTCTTGACTGGGGCTGGCAGAGTCACTTCTGAGTCTCTTTCATGGCTCTTTGTTGAGGCTCAGCTCCTATCACCCGAGCCTCCTTATAGGGATTTTGCCTGTCCCCAACATGAACAACATAGCAGCTGGCTTTCCAGAAAGAGGTCATCAAGGGAGAGTATGTGAGTCAGATTTTCCATCCCTGAACCAAGTACCGAATGCCTGAAACTTAGAGGCTTATTCTGGCTTACAATTTCTGTGGGTTTGGTCCATGGCTGGCTGGCTCCAAAGCAGAAATGACGTGACTGAGGCAAGCTGCTTATCACGCTGCAGTCAGGGAGGAGCCAGAGGCAGAGCATACCCTTCCAGGCCCTGCCAGGGGCTGTCGCCAGCCAGTGCCTATCTCTGAAGGCTGCATTCACTGTATACTCACCAACGGGTGAGCCCACTGTTGAGTATGGTGCCCCTGATCCAGTGACCTTCCATACTCGGATGAGACTAGTTGAGGGGGGCATTTGAAGCCTAAACCATCACAGAGAGCAAGGAGGAAGCCACTCCCCCCAAAATTATGCCAGACACTCAGAAAAGTCACACCTCTTCTGTCAGCCTGGGTATTTGCGTCTTAAGACAAGTAGGTTATTAGACCAGATGATTTGATAGTTAGGGTTGGGCTTCTGGGGCTGACAGAGAAGGAAGGGGCGAGGGCGATCTGCAGAGGCCTGAGCTCCTGCCCACCGTGAAGATCCTGCCAGCTGTTGGACCCAGGAATGGCTCACATTTCCTCCCCTCTCCTGAATCCAGCTGCGACTTGCGTTCTTAGATGCATGTGGGGGTTGGCATGGGGAAAGCTTGGTGACAGGCCACTCTGGTAGGCCAGGCCTTTGGGGGTGGAGGGGAGTAGCTGCTTCTCTATGTGACAGTACAGGACTAGATCCTCAAATCCTCCATTTTTCTAAGGAGGCCCAAGAATCCAAGTGTTTTTAATTTTTTTTAAAGTCTCCCAATATACAAATGTTGTCAAATAACTCTGATTATAAAATAACATTAACTACCCTTGGCGGTCAGACAAAATCAGTCTGCAGTCAGACGTGGCCCAAAGTGCCATGGATTTGTGACCTCTGATGGGCTGATCCCTCATGTGAAGCGAGATTCCTTTTACTTCATATGTCAGAGCTGGCTTTGCTCCCCAAAGGCCTCACCAGACTCTGGACTAGGGCAGCTGGGGTCTGCACCCTGCCCAGTTGGTTCCACCTCTATGAACCGGAGGAGAGTCCAGGGTGGGCAGGAACACAGAGGCACTGGCCTGCTATAGTCTGCTGTCCTGTAAGGACAGGACTCAAACTTCCTCCTGCCCTTTTTCATGTTTATCTCCTTCTCCTGACCCTTTTCCCTGTAGGATCAAGCAGCCCACCCTGAAATTCCATGGGAACAAAGACTCCATCTGCAAACCCTGCCACATGGCCCAGCTGGCCTCCGTCTGCGGCTCTGACGGCCACACGTACAGCTCAGTGGTGAGGAGCAGGCCATACCAGGAGGGGGGTGCACCTGGCCATGCAGGGAGCAGAGGGCACAGCTTGGCTGGGGCCTCCCCAGGGACTCCCAGGACTGATGTGAGCAGGCAGTGTAGGGCATCAGAAGGATGCCTGAGCCTTGGCCAGAGTGACCTGAGAGGCAGAGCCTAGACCGTGTCCTTGACCTTGGGGCCAGAAAGACACATGGTCAGGAACTACAAGGGCAGTGAGGTGAGGGGCTCTGGAAGAAGGAGCACTGCCAACCAGGTGCTGCTTGAAGATGCCAATGGGCAGGGCATCCCCAAGTAGCAGGAGCACACTGGCAGGAGGACCTAATCCTCCTTGAGAAGATGTGGCAAAGATCAGGCAGTCAGGGGGATCTCTTCTGGGATTTCTGTGAGGATTAAATTTGATGATATTTGTGAAAGCATTTCACAGACTTCAGAGTGCCACAGAACGTAGGTGCTAATCTCAAATGCTTCTATGAGTAATGAGACGTTGAGGTTGCTTGTGTTTGGGCAGGCACTGCCAGTTGGCTAGGGTTGACTTTCAGGGCCTGGGGGCCCTTTTAGGGTGAAGTCAGCTGACCAGCAGTGGTGGTACACACCAGTGGTCTCTGCATTCTGAGAGGCTGAGGTGGGAAGATGGCAAGTTTGAGCCTAGTCTGAGTAATTTAGCAATCCTGTCACTAAAGGTGGGGAGGCCTGGGGATGTAGCTCAGTGTGGAGGTCCTGGGCTCAATCCTCAGTACCTCAAAATAAATGGACAAGAAAATGAACAGCTTGGTGACAAGGTGACAAGGTAGAGTTGCCAAGGGGGTGAGGTCACCCAAGGGAAGAGAAAGGATGAGCAAGAGGTCTGGGCAGAGGCAGCACTTAGGAGGCTGGAGGGCGGCAAAAGAGGAGGCAGAGCTGATAGGGAGGAGGACAGAGAGCACTTATGTCCCAGAGAACAAAGCAACCTGTGCTCAGGGAGCTGTGGTTCAAGGTCTCCTTGTTCTGTGGGAACGTGCGGGTCTGCGGTAGGTCTGGCTTCTGTCCCGTCCCCAGGCCCAACACACCACGGGGCCTCCTGTGCCTTGGTGTTCTCCACTCAACACAACACACAAGATCCTCCTGCTGGAGCAGTGTGAGGAGGCGCACAGTGCTACAGCGGGGCAAGGCCCACCGCCTCCCCAGAGCCTCACACAGAACCAGGGCTGAGCAGGGCAGGGGAAGATGCTGAGAGGGCACAGCCCAAAGCAGGCGAAGCATGCCTGGTGTGCTTGTGTGTGTGTGTGTGGGGGGTAGATGGGTGACTGAGAGCTGAGGACAGGGCCTGCAGGAGACCACAGGAAGATAGGGAGGTAGGGACAGAGGCATGGGGAGGAGGGGAAGGACAGGCTCAGGGAGAGTAGCAGGGTCAGCTGGAGTCCCCAGCGGTCTTCACAGCCAGGACTGGGCCCTGAGCCTCCCTTCCTGGGCCTGCTGAGCCTCAATTCTGTGCACCCCAGGGCCCTTCCAGGCTGCTCCCAGGGAAGGAAAGTGGGGCTGCGTGGTAGGAGACCCAAGGCTCCACATCAATCCACCTTTCTCCTGCAGTGTAAGCTGGAGCAGCAGGCCTGCCTCAGCAGCAAGCAGCTGACAGTGAGATGCCAGGGCCCCTGCCCCTGCCCCACAGAGCAGGCTGCCACCTCCACCACTGATGGCAAGTCAGGTAACCAGTGTGCTGGTTGGGGGGGCCTCCCTGCAGGGCCCAGCACCTCCTTTGGGTTGCAGGGTGGTGACAGAAGCTCATAGAGCGGGAGGGGAGAAGAAAGGCCTGAGAAGCCTGTGAGGTTCTGGGCCTGGTTGACGAGCAGGCCTCAGGTCTCAGGCCTCAGCCCTGGCTATAGGGACACTGGGGTGATGGGAGGAGGGACTTACTGAGGGTGGAAGATGGGAGAGGCCAGGAGACTGAGCCCTGGTTTCTGCCTCCCCTTCTCCTATACCATCGCAGATCCCCAACTGAAACCAGGCTGCTGCTTCACCCCCTAACTCCCCTCTTCACCCTTCTCTGTGCTGCCCCCTGCAGACACCTGCACGGGCCAGGACCTGGCCGACCTGGGTGATCGGCTGCGGGACTGGTTCCAGCTCCTTCATGAGAACTCCAAGCAGAACGGCTCTGCCAGCAGTGTTGCCAGCCCGGCCGGAGGTACAGGAAGGAGGGGGCTGAGGAGATGGGCGTGTATGGACCAGCCCACCCTTGCTTAAGCCCTTCAGGATAGATCCCCAAAAGAGCTGGGTCCCCCAAAAAGGAGCAATTAGATCAACCAGCACAAGAAGCATAAAGCTAGCAAGTGGGAAAGACCTCTTAACATGGGTGGAGGAGCTAGGTGTGGTGGTGCACACCTGTATGCCAGCACTCTAGGAGGCTGAGGCAGGAGGGTGACAATCTCAAGCTGAGGCTGGGCAACTTAGCAATACATTGTTTCAAGCAATAAAGCTGAGAATGTAGCTCAGTGCAAAGGCCTTGGGTTCAATCTCCAGTACCAAAATAAAAACAAAAAGACAAAGCAAACAAAGCAAATGAATACATGGATTGGAAGAGCTCGGGCTGCAAATTAGCAGCCAAAAGAAAGTAAAAAGCTCCTTATTTCTGGGGCTGGACAGGCAGCCCCATGGTAGAACACTTGCCTAGTGTGTGGGTCAGGGCCATGTTTGATCCCCTGTATCACACATACACAAAGTAATTACTTTTTCAGAGAGCTTTGAGAACAGGATTTGGGTGGTGGAGACATGGGGCTGATGTACAGTAGGGCAAAGGATCTTGGCCATTCTTGAGCTTCTCATGGTTCGATTCCAGGCTGCCTGGCCCCATCAAGAGGCCGGGGATGAGGACAAAGAGGAGGGATGGAGGGACGGGGTGGAGCCGGTCTGAATCCTGATCTGCTCCCCAGGACTGGACAAGAGCCTTGGGGCCAGCTGCAAGGATGCCATTGGCTGGATGTTCTCCAAGCTGGACACAAGTGCCGACCTCTTCCTAGACCAGTCTGAGCTGGCCACCATCAACCTGGACAAGTATGAGGTCTGCATCCGCCCCTTCTTCAACTCCTGCGACACCTACAAGGATGGCCGCGTGTCCACCGCTGAGTGGTGCTTCTGCTTCTGGAGGGAGAGTAAGCAGCCTGGGCCGTGTGGCTCTACCGTCACTGCATCAGCGCGGCTCCTCCCAGGCCCCAGCCAGGCCTGAGTCTTCCCAGAGGCCCACACTGCACCCTCACTGACTTCTCTCTCTCTAGCCCAGGAAGCCAGTGTGTAACTCCCTTTCGCAGCAGGCACCAGGGGCATCCAGATTCTGTGGGTCCTGAAGCTTAAGCACTACAGGGTGCCTTTTAAGGCCTCTCAGAGAGTCAGGAATGGGGGTCTTAGAACTGAAGTTGCATTCACTTCTCAGTGATTCCACTTCTGGGTACCTCTTGCATCTTTGCCCCCAGTAAATGACTACATAGGCAGGCGATCCTTGGTCTTAAATCCACAGAAACCTTATCTGCCCAGGGCCAGAACCATGCGCTTGGAGATTATCTAGGCCAAGAGGCAAATGTTACTGATGGGTGACTGAGGTGCCAGGGGCCAACTGACCTTCCTGGCCAGGAGCTGAGGTACAGGCATGACTTGCCTCTGGCTGTAGCAGTGACCTGTCCGAGGCCAAAGTCCAAGGATGGGGCTCCATCTCGTGCTAGTTTGTGGCCCTGGCAAGTGATCAGAGTGTTCCCAGTTAAGTTTCTTCTTTTGAATTGGGAAGTAGCAGTACCTACCTTGGAGACTGGTGTGAGACTGAATGGAGAGTACCTGGGCACAGAGCCCATGAAGTCCCTGCAATGCAAGTGTGTGGGTTGGTCTTACACCTCCCGCTGCCAGCCTCCCTGCCGGGCACCACCCCAGTCGCCCTGCTCCTGGCCTTGCCCGTGCATTCTGTGCCTTCTGTAGAGCAGCCTTCTTGTGCAGGGCTAGGACTGTCCTTACTGCAAGCTGGGCAGGCTCCTAAGGTGCATGCAGTGGGGCTGGAGCTTAGCAGCTGGCTGCTTCTGGCTGGTAGTTCTGTCTAATGGCCTGGTAGTCCTGTGCTTGCTGGGCCTCCACTGAGGTGGCCTCCTCTCACTATGGGAAGAGAGTTTTCTTCCTGCAGGGCCCTTGCCCTGGGTGGGGAACTTTAGAGGGACCGGTGTATCCTGCAGCCACCCTAGGGTGCCCTTGCCAATATTTCACCCTGCAGAGCCCCTGCTGGGGTCCCTAAGCTTTGGGAACTCCATCAGCCCTCAGGCCACCTCTCTCCCCACAGAGCCACCCTGCCTGGCCGAGCTGGAACGTATCCAAATCCAGGAGGCTGTCAAGAAGAAGCCAGGTAAGGGCAGAGGAAGAGGTGGGGGGCTGCCCTGAGCCCCTTCAAGACCCTGGTGCTCCAGGTCAGATGATGAGCCCAGAGGAAGTCCTGGCCCAGGATGAGAGGGAAATGGACTTCTTGGTTTTGCTTGTTTTGGGTGCCACTTGGGATTGAACCTAAGGCCTTCACACAGAGCGTCGTCCCCAGCCCCTGTTCTATTTTTTTATTTAGAGACACAGTCTCACTAAGTCATTAAGTTGCCCCAGCTTGGTCTTAAACTTGCAGTTCTCCTGTCTCAGCCTCCCAGAATGCTGAGATCACAAGTGTGCATCCCCAAGTTTTTTCCTGTTTAAATCCCATGGTGGGCCACGCTCTCCCTCTTCTCCACTTGGCAAGAGTGTTTTAAACATCAGTTTTATGATTCTTCATTTGGGGACTAGATGTTGGGATACAGAGGGGCCCTAGAACCTTCCACTCAGTGTAAGTCAGCAAGCCTGTGTGTGGAGTCCAAGTGGAGCCTGCTCGGGGTACCCACAGTGTATTCCCCAGATCCCTGGGGGGACACGGGAGCAAATCTGGCCCAGGCTGGAACCCATGGGCAACATAGATGGGGTCCCTGCTCTCATGAGCCTTGGCATGGACTAACTGGGGAAAATGCACCAAGGAGACAGAAGCGCGGTAGGTGCTGAGAGAGAAGGCAGGGGACGTGTGTGAGCCCGAGGGATCGGCAGGGGCCCCTGGGGAGCTGATGTTCCAGGGGAGGAATAGGGAGGAGAAAGAGTCAGATAGGTACAGAATGAGGGCTGGAAGAAGCTCAAAGTTCTCAGAAAACCACTGAAGAAGGTCCCCTGTGACTGGAGTGTGACAGCTGCGGGGACAGAATCGGTGAAGCGGCGCACACAGGGCCTTGCAGCTCCTCCAGAGCAGCCTGCTGTTTCACCAGCACACTTAGCCCGCAGCACGGGAAGCACCCACGAGTCACGCTGACTGCAGGCCCAGTAGCCTTTGGGCCTGTTGTGAGCCCCACCTTGGCCAGGAAGCCCCCACCTGCTGTCTGCTCCCCAAGCAGGCCCCAAATTCAGACCTCAGGTTGCTCTGTCTCTTCTCCCCAATAAGTGGTCAGAGCCCCCATCTCTCTGAAGATGTCTTGTAGGTGGGCAGAGGACCAGAATTTGGGGGTCCTAAGGAAAGGGTATGGACCCCTAAGGCAGTTCCAATTCAGGGGCTGGGGAAGAAGCTTAGGTATTCCAGGCTGGGGCCAGGCGACCGGAGGAGCAGCAGAGATGTGGAGTGGTTGAGGGCAGCGAGGCTATCACGCATCTGAGCCGGTGGCTCAGCAAAGCAGGTTCTTGTTTCCAGTCAGTAGGGCCCGAAGAAACGAGCCCTGGGCCTCTGGGTTTGTTGAGGGGTCAGGACCGCACTGGCCAGGCTCTGGGGCTACCCGGTCCCTGTTCAAGCCCAGGCTCTGAGGCTGCCAGTGTCCCACCCAGGTATCTTCATCCCGAGCTGTGATGAGGACGGCTACTACCGCAAGATGCAATGTGACCAGAGCAGCGGCGACTGCTGGTGCGTGGACCAGCTTGGCCTGGAGCTGACTGGCACCCGCACGCACGGAAGCCCTGATTGTGGTGAGGCCTG